TCCTAAATTAGAAATCCTAAATTACAGTCTTTTATTCTGTTTTATGACTGTATAGGTTTTTTTTTTTTTTTTGGGATACAAGAAACCATAAAACGGGTTCAAGTGTTCTGTTGACTCAAGGTTTTGTTGTGCTAAAGGCAACCACTTGACCTAAATTAGAAATCCTAGCTATCATTCCATACTACTAACTTATGGATAAGTGAAAATCTTACAGTCTTTTATTCTATTTTATGACCGTATAGGTTTTTTTTTTTTTGGGATACAAGAAATCATAAAACGGGTTCAAGTGTTCTGTTGACTCAAGGTTTTGTTACTTCAGGTATTTTAACTGCAATAGACCAATCCTCAACATTAGTACATACTCTTCAATCTGAATGGTTAATAATGCAAGTAATTATGATGCTATTGAGCTATGCGTCACTTTTATGCTGATCATTATTGTCAATAGCACTTCTAGTTATTACATTGAGAAAAAAAAAGAAATAATTTTTTGTAAAAAAGTAATCTTTTAGTATTAAATCAAGATTTTTTCAGTGGTGAAATCAAATACATGAATGAAAGAACAAATCTTTTGCCAAAATTCATCTGTTGACAATTAGCCTCCTGTCCATCCCAATCGTCATCAACAAAAAAAATAATAACAATAATAATAACAAAAGATCTTTGGAGTAAATTCAAGAAAACACTTTACCATGTAGGAGAATCGTCCAATTCTTGCCGTATGTCTGTTGTTTCTGGCCAAAACTTCTTATTTGGCGAGAGAAGATTCAGGGAAAAGGATTGAATCCACTCCAAAGCCACGGTTGGGTCTGCTTTCGGTCAGATCTGAACGATTTTTTAAAGCCTTCCGGTCAGCCTTCTTCGCTCCATTTAATGAATGAGGACCCGATGATGAAGAACAAATTGAAAATCAAATATGAAAATCCCATAGTGAGTGATTGAATCTTGAATTGAGGGATTTTGTTGATGATGCAATAGTGATCGGCGATGAGGAGGTGATAACTACTGACGGCGGCGGCAACCAGTAGTAACTGCCGGCAAGTGATTGGTGATGGTGACGGACGGCAACAATCGGTGGCAACTGTGGTTGATTGGAGTGGGAAACAGACAACAGTAGTGGCAATCGACGATGATGATGGTGACAGCGGCAGCCAAATTACACGAACCTTTGGACAGTGATAGCAGAGCAGCAACAATTGAAAGATCGAGATTGTCAGGAAGAGAACAGAGCGGCGGACAGCAGCGGCAGCAACTGGAGAATCGCGATTGATGATGGTGGCTATTGATGGATCGACAGCTACACGGACAGCCAGCAACAATAACGACTTCAATGGCAATGACAGACGGAACAATGATTGACAAAAGCAACCGACGGCAGTAGCGGTGCAATGGAGCGTTGAAATTTTGATGTATTTTGTTCTTGAGAGGAGCAATCAAGAACATAGAGCATATCGGATTCTTTATTCTTTTGAAAATTGAATTTGATTATGGATGATAGATTTGATTTGAGAAGATAATTTGGAAAATTAATTAGTTAGAGTAATTTATGGGAAGTTAGTAAATACACACCGCTGAAATTGGAGAGTGGTTATTACTGATTTCCTTAATCGTAGTTGATAAATTTGATTTACAGAATTGCGGAACCTTGTTTTTTTTTTCGGATGAAAACAGGACACGTGGCATCTTTCTTTTGCAAAAGATGTTTTTTTTTAGTTTAGGCAGGAAAAAAACCTATGTAAAACTGACACGTATTCTCAGTATCATTTGCTTTCATGAAGTGTAAAGGGATTTATTTTTCATCTCTCTATATAACTTTTGTAACCTTTCTTTAAAAGTTTGTGTGCGTTCATTTTTTTCTTATAATATACTGTGTGTTTTTTTTCCTATAAGCAAATTATCCTTTTACTATGTTGTTTTCTTTATAATGTATCGCGTTGTACAGTTGTCAATGTATTGGAGTTACTTTAACTATCTTTTTAAAAATATTCTCTTAATTTTTTATAATAATCTTTCTAAATATTCTACTCGTGTCATATGTTTTAAATTTTCCCTCTAACAAAAAATTTTATCATTATTTCTTTCGATAAACTTATCTTTATTTTCATCTATCTATATACCTTTTGCAACCTTTCTTTAAAAACTTGTTTGCTTTTTTTTTTTCCTATAATGTAATGTTTATTTCATTTTTTTCCTTGATTGCATAGTCTTTACCCTTTTCTTTTCTTAATTTGATGAACTATCTTTAAAGTTTCATTTATTGAAAAACTTGTAATAATTATTTCATTTTCACCATTACCCTGGATTGTTTTTTCATATTTTCTTATTCTCTACATAATTTTTTTTCTCCATATAATTATCTTTAATTTTTTAATGTGCTTTTTTTTCAACTGTTTGTCTCTTACAAAAACTTTTCTTCTTTTTCTCGTTTTAGAATTTTTCCTCTATCGATCTCTACGTTTTGTTTTATTAACATAACGTTAACTTTTTCTACCATTGTATCTAATTGATTCTTTTAAATTTTACTACATCTAACCAAATTTTCATCAATTTTAGAAGATTCATCAATGAAAATCGCATGCTAAACCTGATGTCCAAGATGCATATGCAAAGAAAACTGAAAAAAAAAAACTATTTAGCATCGGTACGAAGTATTAATTTCTTAACTACGATGAAACAATTTTGATTCCAGGCAATCGAAAATATGCATCTTATTATTTTTTTTTATCTGGACCATCAATGTTATAAAGAATAAATTAATTTAAATGGTATTTTTTATAATTTATTTAAAAAAAACTTATATTATTTGTTATATTATGACATTTAATTATGTTCGATCGTTGCTAGAATGATTAGAATTTAATGATTACTATCGAATAAATAATCTTTTTGTTATAATATCATTATCCAATTTGGATTTTCATCTTTTTGTTCTCTTAAGCGAGAATTACTGATACGTGATTCAACAAGCTCAATCCGGTACGGGGAGAATCGCCAACTTTCTGTGCCAGAATCCTCCAGCGGCTAGACTACGGGTTAGTCCAATGCCAGGCTTCAACCCGCGAGCTCGCCAATATATGTGTTGAAGTAAATGTTAGACAAAATATAAAAGTATCCTAATAAGTTTAAATATTAGTAAGATGATTTATTGATGTTCTCCATTTGTCGTGCCAAATCAATACTTAATTTTGAAGATTTTTAATAGCTTTGTAATAAGTTTCATCCGAAGGGTATACGCTTAAAACAAAATTGACACTTTATAACAAAAACCTAATTGATCAATTCAATTTAGACTCCATAATTAAGAAAAGAAACCCACTCTAATTGAATAAAATATAAAGAAAAAATTAAAAAAAAAACGTGTCACGTAAAGTGCAAAGGGAGATTTAGTAATTTAGTTATGACTAGACAAAAGGGCAATTTAGTACTTTCCTCATGTCACGTGGCAATCATAGAAGGTGTTTGAAAGGGGGGTTTTTATTTCTAATATAGTAGGATGTGCTACTCATCCCAATTAATTTTGAGGTGGAACCATATGTGGGCTTATATGGGCCTTTAAAAAAATTTAAAATTGAACTTATGAAATTGGTATAACCTAAAATTGATTATTAAATTTATAAGTAGTCACGAAACTTTATTAATTTTTCATATTATTAAATTGTATTTTTCATATTACTAATTTTTTTAGTAAGATTAAGTCATCTAATATTTGTATTTTAGTTTTTTAACAAATTAGACTATTTTTCTAGAAAAGAAGTAGTATATTTTTGTTAGAAGTTAAAACCAGAGCACAGTATGATTGATTGTACTTTTTATTATGAAAAATATATGATTTAAACAACCCCCCAAAAAAATCCCCTTCTCCTCCTCGTCCGAAAAAAAGAAGAAAAATCTTGCATTCTACTATATCATTTTTTGTGTAGTTTTGTTTGAATAAGAAATTTTTTTTTTAATTTAGTCATTGATTGGGTGTGTTTTGCCGGATATGACATAAAGGGCAGCTAGTTTGAGATAATGTAGAGAAAGACAAACCGAAAATGTGGTTTCCCAGGTTCCCGTTGGGCATATAGTCATAAACCAAGATCATCTTGTTCTGTTCATTGCAATACCCTATAAGCTTGACAACATTCATATGCTGAAGCCCAGCGGAGGCAACCTCATTCCAGAATTCCGTATATCCTTGCCTGGCTTTCTCTTCTAAACACTTCACTGCAATATCCCGAGGGACCTGCCCCCCTTCCAGACGACCCTGAGATAGGAAGCAATTGTGATTTTTTCAATTCATTTATGTTTTTCTAAGAACACAAAAACAACGTGAAACATGCATGAAGACAGTGTCACACTCTCTCTTTAGACGTCTCAGCCATGTCATGAGCACCTTGTGAGACAAACTGGTGACCTCAAGTTTAAATATTATTGAAAGAAAGCCAGTTGGCTTAGATAATGTTATCTCCGAATTTTCAGATTAAGTACTAGAGTAATTGAAAAGAGAAAGAAGGTGGTTTAGAGACAAAGTGTACTAAGGAAGCATCGGGGCAACCCGCATATTTCGAAACTAGTATTGATCAGCTAGTATTGCTGAGGTGGACCTGGACACCATGCGATGTGAAAAAGCAAAGGGAAAGAAATAAAAGAGGGAGAGAGAAAATGTTCTACCACTCGCTGTTTCTGGAGGTATGTTAAGACTTCAGGGGTTATTAATAACAAACATTCAGATGCAAGTAGTAAATAAGAGAATTTGGTCTTCGATGAATTGGTGAACAAATTATTTGAGTCATTTGCATTAGGCAGCAAGACAGGCTTACCAAGAAAACAGGACCGTAGCCCCCCGTTCCAATTTTAGAAGAAAAGTTACCGGTGGCTTCACGCAACGTAGACAATTCATACCTCTCAATCTCGTTAACTGCAATGGAGGATGTAAGCAATGTGAGATAGACTTGGTCTTGAACAGATTTATTGCCGAATTGCCTACTTAAAAAAATTCTTCGTTACATGTTAATTACCTGGTGCTGGTGGTGGTCGTGGTGGTGTTGGTAGTTGTGGTTCTGATGATGGTTGTGGCGGCGATGATGGTTGTTGTTGTTGTTGTTGTTGTTCTCGTGGTGGTGGTGTTGTTGTTGGTGGTGGTGGTGGTGTACGTATTCTATTGATTAACCAAGCGACGCCTAGGATTAATAGAACCATTGCAACAACACTTGAAACTGTCAAAACGATGATCAGAAGTATGTTTAGACGATGCTTGGGAGGAGGTGCATTAGAATCTGCAAGTAGGAAAAAGAAAAGGTTAAAATTCTTTCAAATCTACTGAGCGTCGATCTTGATCACAACATAGGCTGCAGATATATCAGGGTCTGCTATAAGATAGTATAAGATTTTGTACAACAAAATCTTAAACTAATACTAGCTGTCGTACAAAAAAAATAATCACATTGAGTTTTATAATGCAAAATTCAAAATTTAATATGGAATGTGTTTTTGGACGATGTGGTACTCTAATGTTAGATTGAAACAAAATGTGAAACACACATACAAAGATGCTTTTGGATAGCTAACTGAGACAAGAAGTGATGCAGTCATACAACCTCAATTATAATAATAATTTGGTAACAGAGACAAGAATGCTTTTGGATATATAGCTAACTGAGACAAGAAGTGATGCAGTCATACAACCTCAAGTATTTGTTACCGAAGCCATCCAGATGTAGATATCTTGGCCAGCTGCAGTTGTCACTTTCATATCAATCAAGTCCCCGTACCAAAGCAAGCATCCACTCCCTCCATTCCGCACGTCTAAGCTTGAATAAGCCGTACAAGTACAATCCTTGAAACACAAGTTCTTGCAATCATCCAGGGATATATTCCTATAGAATGTTGAATTCTCAACATTCGGTAATTTGTAGTTGGAGAACTTCAGAAATCCATCCCCCTTGCCACAATCCAACGGTGTTACCCGGATGCAGCCATCTGACCATTGTCCCTTAGCCCAATTCGCAGGATTCTTTGGTTGAAATTTATCTAAGCATCCACATATCGACGAATTAGTAACGTCACAGCTCCCGTACGGACCACATCGAGCATAACTGTCACAATTATCTCCCGGCGCAGACAAGTAAATCTTCCAATCCGTACTCTGAGGTTCCCATGTCCATCGCTGTCCGACACCACTTGGAGCCAAGGTAAACTTCGAAAGCGTGGAGCTGAGGAGCTGGTAACTATAGTAAATCTCTTTACTGTTGTACACCACTTCAAAGGTAAATATGTTATTTCCTATCAGCCCTGGAACCCCATTCCATCCTATGCCATTCCATGGTCCGGTTCGATACGTCAAAACGGTACCCTTTTTGATCTTCTTCTGTGGGTAGCCGGTAGAATCCAGGCTATATGTGAATTCCCCTGGAGATGGATCATCAGCACTTTTCCATGACGTAATATAAACGTCTCGACCAGTAACAAAATTCCGGCCCAGCTTCATTCCTGGAAGATACGTATCAGTTGGATAATCAAAGCTCTGCCAAAGAAAATTCTCCGGGTCGTCATTATTTGCATCTTTGACGACAAGATTCCCGCTATCTAATAATCTCGCCACCGGGTTGCGTACAGTTATGGAATAATTGGAGGACCATATGGTATTATTCGCCGAGGCGCGAAGAACAAGAAATCCTGGCTTGATGACCTCTAGAGTCCCCTTTGTAGTATTCAGGGGATGTTCCCTATTAGCAACCCACACCACGGTGTGAACCGTGATGTTCTTGTACCAAATTCCCAGGTATCTCTTTGTTGAGTTGCCTGGGCTGAAAAATCCCAGTTCAAAGCTCCCGCCATCAGAAATGATGGTTTGACCATCGTTAAGGACTTGAGCTGCAGTTATGGTGTCTGTTATGCACCAAACATTTCCAACAAGGAAAGGAAGCAAAAGCAGCAAGCAATGAACAAATGATAGAATGCCGCCAGACTTCATGACGCGCGAGGACTGCGAAAACAAACTTAAAGCCTCCAACTTGCAGCCTGTAAGTCTGGAACAAATGGATATCAAGCTTTAAGAAATAAGAAAAACAAGCTTCCTTAATTCAATTGTACTACTATAGTGGATTAACTTAGTGGACACAAAAGTGAGGAATGAGAATCAATGTGTTATTTGGGTGTAGAAATGGAAAGAAGGGATGTCTTCAGCTTTGCATCTTGGTCAAATATATAAGTTTCAAAATCAATGTAATAAGGGTCGAGATTTTGAAATGTTCCATAAATGGAATATACATGGCCACGATCAACTTCATCAAAGCTTTGAGGTTTCAGCGTTTAACAGTTTTAAACAAACTTCATATACTTTAAAGAGTACTTCAGATAAATACTCACAAGTGGATCAACTTGGAATACAGTTAAATAATTAAACTCTTGTGTTAGAACATTTATTTGTGTTTTGATTAATAACAATGTCTTCCATTGAGTATACATAAATATGCAGAATACAGCGCATTGAGAACCTTTTTTTTTTCCGCTGTTATGCTGCATTTTTTCAACCATTATTCTATACCTAACAATGGGAGCTACTTGATACTGAAGTGTTGTTTAATCTTGAGATATAAGTAACTAACACTGATCGCGTAGCAGGATTTAGCCTGGGAACGTGGCCTCAACAACATCTTCGTATCCTTCTTCGGACAATTAACAAAGACTGACCAAATCTACAAACAATTGAAGTGCATCCATTGGTCTGATGGAAGTCTGAAGTCAAATAGTAGATAAAATTAGTCAAGGGGAATAGTGGAAGAGATGAGCAGACAGAGTCATGCTCAAATATATGTTTCTTGACTCGGCTAAACAGTTGAAAAGGAAATAATAATAATGTCAGCGGAAAGTTCTTCGTACAACGCAGTACTAACATCATGGTACCGCAGAAACACGGGACCATCGTACGCCCCCCGAAACCTTAAAAAAAGGATTACATGAAGCCCGGAAATGATCATGGGATTCAATTTCTGGCTCTTCGACATCTGACACTGTGGTTCTAATATTTAGGACGTGCTGTGTTGCTTGCTACTATTTTCTGGGAATAGAATCCGTCTCAAGCCGGGCCAAACCACCAGCTAATTCCTCCATTTCTATATATTCAACAAGTAGCTTTAATTTAATTTCTGTTGTTATGCAACCACTTCTTCAATAAACAATACCAATTTGGTGAATATGGGCTCCGTTTTCTTTATTCCATGCCCAATCAAATTTAGTCCTGCTGTTCAGCTGAATAGTAGTACTTCAATATATCTGTAGGAGGAGATGGTGTATATGATTCAGCAAATACTTCTCTGCTTCTAAATGAAGCAGTAGCCCAATAAATATACACCTTCTTTTTTGTACAATGAAGGAGGAATTGAGCCCAACTCCGACCAACAACAATCCCAACTTGTTTCTACATACGTGTATAGTGTCGTTGATAAAATAAAGCCCAATAATGAGAGAAACGTTGAGAGTAATATCTCTCTACCTTACCACGTAGACACTCTCATTTCCTTCGTATAAACAAAAGAGGCAAAAATCTGAAATTAACAATAAATTAAGATAGTACTTGTATAAAAAATATCCATCTTATTGTATTCCAAATTTCCAATCACATGGGAACTCTTCTATACCGACTCATCTAACACTTGCAGACTTGCAGTAGCAGACCGCAGGCGCAGCAGAAGAAAAGTAAGTGCTGTGAAATTTGCGTAGCTTCCTATAAACACAAGAGCGAGCAAGCTACTAATTTATTGGTAGTTGAATGGTTAACCTTTAGGAAGACACTAATTTAATCGGTTTGTTCTCCCAACCTACTACAGTAATTTGATCCCGAAGTTTCCCTGCTCCCAAAATGAGTGAGTACCTGTTTGCTTTCCCTTTCTTTATTACTAGTATATTTTCTCCAATATTTTATGAAAGAAAAAGAAAAAAACATGTGCCTTCCAAGTTCAAATCTATACATATTTGGGGCCGGATATGGATCCATTTAGGTTTGGTGATCCGTCCAAAGTTCTCGTCGGGATAACAAACTAGCTTTAATTTAATTTTACCTAACTAAATTGAGGGGAAAAAAAAAGTGATACTTCTTCCGTCCCAAAATTATTGTCTAATTTAAGTTTTTATTTTTAATACAAATTGAACTAAAAGTAAAATCCAAGTTGGACAATAATTTTTAAACGGAGAAAGTATTATTCCTAGCTACTTGAAATAATGAGAAACGAAAGAGATTGAGGATGAAGCTACGGACATTCAAAGTTGGTATTCACATGGAAGCTACATTATGGTTACTCAAAATTGAACGGACATTTATTTGTCGACTTAGACTTGAGGATTTATATTAAACATCACAAACTTGATCAAATCCAAACATATATAATCTGACTGTAGTCTAAGATACCAGAAAAATAATAACTTCTTTAAAATTTTTTAAAAAAATGAAATTTTTTAAAAATATTCCAAAGATTCCTCGTCTGTCATGTTATAATGTTGGCTATAATGGAGACATACATTTGCTTCAAAACAATTGCTAATAAATTAATTTTGATCATTCTTTAGTTTTGGCCTACAACATTAATTTAGGAGATGCGATCTGTATGTTATGATTTAGATTGACAAATTAAAGGTTTTCAGTCAAAGCAGTGGCAAAAATTGGTAACGACCACCCACCATTTTCAATAATCCAAATCGACAGTTCCGGTTAGATTTTTGTATGTATATTATGTAGGAGAAGTGGAGAACTAAAGATAATTGGTTTTGTTACATTATCAACCGGGTAGCATTCTGAGATGTTTTGAACATTAAAATCACACTCTATCGGATTAGTCTAATCGGGAAGAAACTTCGTAAAACACTAACTATATTTAACTTACAAATGTGTTTTTAAACGTGCATGAAGGAGAAAGAGGCAGGAAGTCGGTTTCCACTCGGAAAACAGCCTAATTTTAGCATTGCTTGAAATAGTCGAATTAAATTAAGACGGAACCGTTTCTCAAATGATTTCAATTTATGAGTAATATTGAGTCCCTCAATGTTCACTTTTTATTATTATCAAATCGATTCCAACATTTGAACCGCAAGAAATTTGTGAAGTAGAATTGCAAATGTGACATGGGCCGTAGTCAAATCGCTATATATTTATATGTATATATATATATATATATATATATACATATATATCTCATCAACTCTCCTAGATTAGGTGCTTAACAAAAAATAAAACAGAAACGAATGGTAGTGGCGTATCTTTATCCAATTAATCATCCATTAGTTATAAACAAAATGTTAATATCAATACGCAAGTGTTGAAAATTTTTTTAATTTTAGGTCTAAAGAATGAGGAGAAAAAAGGGGCCAATTTATTTTGAAATGGTAAACGAAAAGAAAAAAAAAAAAAGAAAGAAAGAAGGAAACTACTAATGGAAGACTCAGACCGGAGGGAAGGGGGTTTTTTCTTTACATTTGGGCGAAAATGGAGTCAAAGTCCAAAACTTTGCCTGTTAAGACATGAAATTCCGAAAAATGCCTAAAACAAAGTCCACGCCTTATCAAGCGGGGGGTTCCTGAAAATTGGCATGCAATTTCTTCGATTTCTTTCCCCATCTGAAAAAGCCGATTCAATGTAGAAAAAGAAAAAAACCACCAAAAAAACAAAATATAATTAAAAAAAAAAAGAAGAAGCTTTTTCTTAATAGCAAGGCAAAAGCAGCCCTCTGAGCAGCCAGCTGCCACGTGGTACGCTTCCCCAAAAAGGACCAATTCTTCTTATTCGGTGATTCAGCCCACATTCATTTATGACCCAAAAAATAAAAGAACCGATGAAACTGGTAGGCAATTTCTTCGTCCTTAACAACACACAGCAAATACGCAAAAAATATGCCTTTGCCTTACTCCAACCGGCCTTTCCTCTTAACCAACTCTGAACTGTACATTAGTTGTCTCCCCAAATGGCCTCTTTCGCCTCTTTCTTTCCCACTTCTTCGAAACCCCCACCTTTTCCCACCCAGTTCCCAATTCCCAAATCCCCACCTTTTTTATACCCCTTTTCCCCCAAATCCACACAACAACAACAGACCCAGTCTCTTCTTCTCTTCTCTAACAATAATTCCCAAAAAACTAGAATCATTATTCTTCACAAGCTAAATTAAGAGTTCTCTTCAACAATGGCATCCAAGACACAATCGAATTTCCACGATTTCTTGCCTCTTATGGCTGAAAAGCTTGGCGGGGATGGCCTAATCGGCGAGCTGTGTAATGGGTTTCAGCTATTGATGGACGGTGATAAAGGGGTCATCACATTCGAGAGTCTCAAGAAGAATTCGGCTTTGTTGGGATTGCAAGACTTGAGCGACGATGATCTCCGAAGTATGTTGAGAGAAGGGGATTTTGATGGGGACGGCGCTTTGAATCAGATGGAGTTTTGCGTTTTGATGTTCAGATTGAGCCCTGAGCTTATGGAAGAGTCCCAGTTTTTGTTAGATGAGATCCTTCAAGATGAGCTCAAAGATTTTGATGTTTCTTCTTCCTTGTAAAATTATTATTCTTCTCTCTCTCTCTCTGTTCGATAACAACTATTTATTGATGATGATGAATTGATGATCATTACATCTGTACAAGTTCTCTCATATTGATTTTTGACTGATAAAATACACGTCAATAGAAATACAAACAGCTTTCATTGGATTTTCTCGCCTTCTTACTCTTTTTCTGATTCATTATACTTGTTCTTCTAGCCTGGCGATTGACTTCTAGGATCTGAGTTCTGTTTTCTGATGCTTCCCTACTTGTTATTGTATTGGGCTTATGGATGTGATGGCTTGAAGCAACTAGCAAACTTTGGTTTAATTTTGTAGTATACCAATTGCAATTGGTAGTACCAGGATGATTTCGACAGCCAAATTTGAACATATGATTTATTTCCTTTCCATCATAGCTTTGGATTCCTTTTCTTTCAATTTCTCAATCCAAGCAATTTAAGTGTGTAAAAAACGCTTTGAAATCAGACTAAAGTCCTGTTCTTCCCAGATTTCGGAGCTTCAAAACCTCCGAGAGCACTTTGCCAGTTTGCGAATTACCTGCTGGATTTGCGGCCTTAAATGTTGTTCTTTAGCGCCTGAAAGTAAAACTCCAAACATTATAACAAGCCACTTTTCAGCGTATGTATTAGTATAAGATATCAGTCAGCGTTTAGGAAATTTCCAGTTAAATTTGCAGGAGTTACAACAGAAATCCACAAAGGCTCATTGCTTGAATGAATCTAAACTCTAGAGTCTAGAATATTCCAAGCTCCTGCCTTTCTAGCTAGTCCTAGATAAATGGGAACCTTTTTTTTATTCAAAGAGAGAAACCTGTGGAAGTCAGAAGAAGAGTGGATGATTTGAACACTGTTATAGTAGTGCCAATGAAGGCTTCAATAAGGAGGACTGGACTATTTGGCATGTCTATTTCAATGGGACCATATGGTATTTAACAAAAGCCCATTGCCTAGCAAAGCCGAGTGATGGTGATGTGGTGGGTTTCCACTGAGGAAGATATCCAACGTAAAAAAGGCCTCTTGGAGGTTCAGATACGTTTTTGAAGTAGGATAATAAGTCCACGGAAATGGCCTGTATTTTGTTTGTTGACTCTTACCATTAAGGAGGCTTTTGTCAAATTTGCTTGCTCAGGTTTAGGAGACTTGTGGTCACCTAACATCATTACAACATTTACAAGTAGTAGTAATACTGTAGTTTTGATAATGCGATTGAACTAATTAACACGTATGATGATTCATCACAAGTTTGGCTACCTAAATCCATATTGATCATGTATCAACTAAAGTTTCAACGCTTCTGACCTTGGAAATCTGGATTTGAATGTCTAAGATTAAACACTAAAAAAATAAAAATAAAAAAATTCCATCCGCAGTATCTGGTGTTTCCCTCTTTGATGATGTTTTGATTAACAAATTGCTAGGTACAAAGAGTGACTAATCAAATTGGGAGTCATGTATCTAATTATTAACCAAACGCCCTAAAATGAGGTAAAAATAGGTGATGAGATAATAGTTTTGAGCATTGTTTAGTCGAGGCTTTTGGACATGACAAAATTCGTGAAAAATGTTTCTCATATTGTTAGTCTTTTAACATATTTGGAATGGTATGGGAAGTCAGCTGATCAATGACGCTAATGGATGGTTTAAGCGTAAGATGATGAGCTAGAAACTAATAAAATGTTGGAAACGGAACAACATAATATAAAAAAGCATTACATTACATGTTACCATAACATTGGCTAGGATCAACTGTTCAAAACAGAGGATGCGGACCCAATACGTCTACTAAAGAAAACAGTACTAATCGAGTGGGTTTCTTGCATTCAAAATCAATGAACACAAGATGAATCATTTCCCGATTCAGGTTGTGTAGCTGATCTACTAGGCAAACCGGACACAAACACAAAAGTATGTAGTAGAAGAATTCAATAACTGAGTAGTGTACACGCTGTCTGGCTGGGGCTGGCTTTCGCAGTAAGGAAACACTAGCAAAAAGAAAGAACTGCTGCTGCACTCTCTTGTTAGTATATAGTACTAGTATTCTTGAAAGGAAAGGCGTACGTTTATTAATATGGTGCGGCGTGGCATTCATTCACTGTTCTCATCTCATGCCTCCCAAATGCATGTGGGCCTTTGTTCTAGAAAATCATGGTGATCTCTTCTTCTTTCTCTGTTAAAAGAAAAGAAAAGAAAATCACAGGGAAGAGAGGGCAGTGGATGAGTGCCAAGTGTGTGGTAAGTGCCAAATTGCCCAATCTCTCTCTCTTTCTTGTGTGTGTGTGTGTCTGTGTTTTAAGAGTGTGATTATTGTGATTTTCATTCAGATGCCCCCCAGTTGTGGACTTTCCCACTGTCTTTGGTTTTTTGTGGTGATCGTTTTCATTCTTGGTCCCAGCCAGGGTTTTATATTTGCATTGCACCAATATCCTCAATAATCTTTTGTTATTTTCTAATTTGGAAGGATCATCCAGCTATATTCAATTCACAAAAAAAAAAAAAAAATACTAAAATAACGAATGTAATCACGATATTGACTCAAAAAATAATTTGGACACTAAAAAGTTTAACCAATATTTCATGACTCGAAATTCTAACCTAAACCATATTGTTTATGAAGATCACTACTAGGTTCCACTTGATGGTAACTTTTAATCTTGTCATTATTTCTTGGAGCCTGATGAACCTACCAAAAAGAAAATATGGTGGTTTCACTCCATAACAATTAGTCCACACAATTAAGAATCTTACAATTACCAACAAGTCTTCAACCTAATACCAGTAATTATTGAAATTAATTGGACCCCAGTACCAATCAAAGCATCTTCTTAGCCAAGGGAAAAAAAGGCTACTGAACTGGAAGTTTGTAGTTTACACATGGAGATGCTCATCTTCGTCTTTGACTTCCATTTGAAGTTTTTTTCCATCTTGCTCCATCTGCTTGTAAACTTGTCCTGACTTCTTATTTTGGGGCAGATGACCACCTTTATTTTCCTTTCTATTTTTCACAAACAAAAGATTTCTTGGTCGACATGATTTATATGTTAATAATACTTTCTAATATTAGTATTTTTGTAGTTAAAATTTTACTTTATATATCCAAAAATAGAGGATCTCCACATTATGTATCTTAACAATTGGCCTTCCCAAATCAAATCACTTATGTTTCAAGTTGTGCATTTCAGCTCCAAAACTCTTAACAATTGCGTTGCACTCTAATAAAGCTCTTAACATCATTATAAAGAAAACATAATAAAGTGATTTAAATAAGCATTATCTAGAGGCTGCATCTCTCTCTCTCTCTCTCTCTCTCTTTATTGAAATGATGATACGATTGAACAACAACATCTCATCATTATTCAGCCACCCACTCTGTTTCCCCTCTGTTAAACACAATTAGAAAGTGATACTTATATTTTACTTGTGATGCACATCTAAGATACTATTTCGGCCGATTCTTATAATAAGACATTTTGATTTCCTTTAAATTTTATTTATGTATTCTTTTAATCAAAAATAAAATATTTAACATTTATTTTGTTCTCTCAATATAATTTTTTTAAGATTTTATTTTTAATTATAAAAACACAATAAGTTAAACCTAGAAAATATTAAAATGCATTATAAAAAGGTCAGGAGGAAATAGTAATGAATGCATATCCTTGTAATTAAGTAGTGTCTTCGTTTCCATTTATATTCCTATGATTTAATTTTCTAAAAGCAAGTCTGTTTGTACTCATCTTAATCGTTTTTTACTTTTAACAAAAAAATTTTTGTTATGGACATTACTTTTTGCTCTGGTAATATTATTGTCCTAACATAAAATACATATGAATATTCTAAGCTGGTAACTTGGGGAGTCTATCTTATACTTAATTATTGATAAGATATTAGCATAAGATTTTAATAATTACATTAATGAAAGAGCAACTAAAAAATCATAAAAAAAGCCAAACCAAACTTACCAATAAAAAAAATGGACGAATTTACATATCTTTTCATGATACAACAAAACAGGTTTAAACTTTGAAGTCTAATTTCAAACGATTACACAATGAGAATATGATTAGTTACTAAATCTTGAATTAAGCCATGATTAGTGACGATTCATTAAAGAAATTGTATCCCCAGGCAGAAGGTAAAATACGAGTATTGAATAAACAATCAGTTGCGAAAATTCGTGTTTGGGATAAATGTGTTTAAGATGATTTTAGACATCATTTGTAAATATCCCGTATCAATTACTACTATCTCATTTAAGTTACCATTTTCACTGCTTTCCAATCCAGACTCCACACTCTATTAGTAGTAGTACCAAAATCCAATCCGGACTCCCCATTATAAATACGCACGTCTTCTTCTCTCTCCTCTCTTCTCACAAATCAGTCAACTCATTTTTCAAGCTCACTGACTCCTCACCGAATCCTCAATTCGCGATTCCAATGGCCACTAAAGTCTATATTGTGTGAGTTTCTTACTCCCTTTTCCGATTACTTCTTTGTTTTGATCTTTTCTTTTATCTCCGATGTTCTTTTGCGGTTTCTTTCTTCTTCTTTTTTTGTCAAGTTTACCGTTGATTGGATTCTGCTATTCCGATATGAATCAGTAGATGAGATCCTTTTTGCTGCATATATAGTTGTTAGAAGACTTCACTGAAAACTTTGTTACAATTGTTTGAATTTGATTTGTTTCTGTGTACTACAGAAGTACTGAACCCCTGCCGATTTGGTTTTGTCTGCAAAATTCTGTAATTCCTTGTGGAATTTCTGAGCATGAAGTTTTGTCTGATGATTTAATTGAAAATTTCCTTGATATCTCCCTATTTAACTATTTCCGATGGCTTTTTGGTCTGGATGATTCTGAGTAAATGATCTGTTAATTAGATATGTACCATGTGTGATCTATTCGGCTCTTGTTTGGCTGTAGATCTTTTCTAATTTATGTATTCAGAAGAAGAATGGGTTGAGTTGGTAAACAATCGGTCTTAGGTGTCAATGTTGCTGGTCTCTGTTTATGTGGTGATATGGGATAGGATATTCTGTATCCGTATTGATAATGCGTGCATATTCGTTCTGCTTTCATATTTTTAGTTGCTGGGCCATTTGTATCTTGGTAGCATCAAAGTTATGAAGCAGAACTGAACAAGACGAGTATTGCATCACTGTTCTTGTTTTCACTTAGCCAAGAATATTTGATTGAAATGAACAGTTGTATACGTCCTTACCGATGATGCCATTCATTTAGTTTTAGCTTTCCTTGGCTTCAGAAGTTTGTTTTTTGCTCCTTATTGTCAGACAATGACCTTATAAGTAGAACAAATTTTCTTCAGTTTCTTTGCTAACTCAAATGTATATTGTCATTACTTCTTTCTAGGGAATTTGCTAGGGTTGCTAATGAAGTGTTGTTCTTTTGTGTAGCCTAGCAGAATGATACCTTTAATGCATTTTCTTCATGTGATTTCTTATAAATTGTTGATCATATGCCCCGGCGGTGCTTCAGCATCAAGTATGTTATTTAACTTTTCTTTTCGGGGGTGGGGTTGGAAGGGAGAAGAGCAGCTTTAAGCACCTGTAGTTTTCTTCTTCCATTTTTATTTTAGATGTATCTGAATATCAGTGTATTAATCTTTCCTTCCCGCTACAGGTACTACTCTATGTATGGACATGTAGAGAAACTAGCTGAAGCGATAAAGAAAGGGGCATCAAGTATTGAAGGAGTTGAAGCCAAGTTGTGGCAGGTAGATGTTACTTTTGGCTTAGTTTCTTTGTAGATGGATACAATCAAATTTTTTGGATGTACTTTATAAACTCTTCGTGGACTGATACCTTATCAATGAACTCTTGTAATTGAAAGCTGGAGATAATGATTGACTGAGGAATTTAATTAAGTGATAACAATGTTGGACAAAAACTTGTGTTTCACCACCTATTGTTCTAGTGTGATTCCTACTTGAGCTTGAAGTGAGCCAGTTTTTCCATGATGTTCCGGCTCTTTCTTGATGATAGAAATCCGAGACGTACAGACTTATTCTACCCTTGACGAATGCAATTGATTGCCTTAATGCATTTGCAATTGATTGCCTTAATGCATTTATGGGTACCAGCTTCGTGTGCAGTCCAACTTTTCTGAAGTTTTTATGAAGTGCTCTTATTCATTTAAAATTGGCGGGTTAGCATGCTTTGATTGGTGCATTTCTACTTTATGAAGAAGATATATATGTTTGGTTCA